CCAAACCAGAGGGGCAACGTAACACACAGAGGAATCCACAAAGAGACTGGACCATACACCGGCCCTAACCAGAATTAGCCCGACTCCCACCAAGGAAGGGAGCGCCTGTGCCTTTCGGTCTGAAAGTCTTTCGTACACACTGCCCTTGGATCTGCATTCTGCTGGGCTGTTTCGGCAGAACCGCTGGTCAAGGCAGGGCTGCGACGTGACCCCCAGGAGAGTGTGTTTTACTCACATAAACCCTGCAGCAAAGGTGTTGGACAGCGAGGGTGCTCCACCACCATAGGCTGAGCTGGTTTCTCCTAACCAAACTTTCTTGCCAGGTCTGGTCTCTTTGACAATCTATGGAACAGGAAAGTCTGCAGGGTAAATGCAAATAAACTGACCACCCACGATGCTGAAAATGAACAGCACTTAAAACCTTGGCCTCCTTGTGGGCCACGCCAGCTGTCCAATAGCGTTCCAGAGTGAGCTCACAGCCATTCAGTTCTTGGACAGCGGGCCTTTGTTGAAATAGTAGGGTGTGAAAAGAATGGAAATACACCCATGCTAAGGGCCTATGGTAGTTCATCCTAATAAAGGTTATTGAAAATAGCGCTGCTGTCTAATCAACAGATCTGAGAAAGACCCGAAACAGAAGGAAAACCAAGAAGGAATAAGATACAGTGCCTGTCCTTAAGGAGCGCCCACTCTGATGAGAAAAACATGAACATTTACAGGACTGAGGAACTTAAAACTAGTTAAACCACAAAAAAGGCCTTGGGTGGTTTTACACTAAAAACAAACAAACAAACAAACAAACAAACAAAAAAGGCCATTACCTGGAAAACTTTTTCTGCATTTAAGATGAAAGTGTCCAGTACATCAGGATTTAGAAAGTCTTCTTTGGTAGCAATTCGTCCATCCAAATAATAGCTAGATTATTCATAAGATAGAAAAAGAGTTAACATTGGGCTTGTCAGTGAATTGACTTTGCTCTCTTTCCTACTTCTCCCACCCCAGGGCAACAAAAAGAGAAAGGGGCTGGGGGTGTGTGGGGGAGAGAAGTTGTACTAGGGAGAAACCAAGATAGTACAGGGGAAAGGGGCTGAGAAGAAGAGTTCATTGTGTATTGAATTGTGTCCCCACCCTCACAAAGGTGTGTCAACTTGGCTTGGTTATGATTCCCGATGTTGGGTAGTTGTCCTCCATTTTGTAATATGATACAATTAGCCTCCATTTGGCCACATGTGTTGCAATTCCTAACCTGTATATGTTAATTACAGAGCCCTGGTGCCATTTTTTTGGATAAGCATTAGACTGCTAACCTCAAAGTTGGCAGTTTAGAACCACCAATTGCTCTTTGGGAAAAATCCAACAACAGGCTATCTGCCTCCATAAAAATGTATATCCTCAGGAACCCCATATAGCACTGTTTCCCAACGTGGACAATACCACCCCATAGTGGAGGCTGAAATGCTACAGAGGGCTGCAAAAGTAGATGCCTACAATTGCCAGGGAGCTGCTGGGTGATTTTTTCCCCCCTGAACAGGGGATAGTAGGTCACATAAGTTTGGGGATCTATGCTGTATAGGATTTCTATGAGTCAGAATCACTTGGTAGCAGTGTTTGGGTATCTATTAATGATTTAAGGCCACTGTTATTTGAGTCTCTATCCTGATCCAAGTAATCAAGTCACACCCTTATTTAAGCCGCTACCTTTACTGAAATCCTACCCTTGCTTGAGTCACACTTTTTGCCTTACAAGCTATGAGAGAGGAGCCAGTAGGGAAGAGAGGGACTTGCCCACCATCAACTAAGAAGACCTTCAGGTGGAACATGTCTTTTGGGATAGGACCCCTGTATTGATAACCTTGTAAACCTGGGGAGAAATTGATGCCAAGTTAAGTGGATGTCTTCTAGGAACACAGGACCCACAGACATTAAAAAGAGACAAGAGTCTTCCTTCAGAGTCCATAGAAAGAGAAAGCCTTCCCCTAATCCTGGTTCAAAGCCCTGGTGGGCTAGGGCGTTATGCATGGGAATCTTAGCCACGAAATTGGTGCTTTGAAGCCACCAGTCACTCTGTGGAAGAAAGGTCAGGCTGCTCCCGTAAAGACGTACAGCCTCTGAAACCTGAATGAGCAATTCTATTCTGTCCTACAGTCACTTGCAGCTAATAGACTTGTTGAAAGGGGATAGGGTTAGAGGTGACGCACTGAATTTGGATTTCCAATCTTCTAAACTGTGAGATGATACATTTTTGTTTGTTAAGGCCATCTACTTGTGGCATTTGCATTTTAGCAGGACTGGGTAATGGAAGCATCCATTCTATTGAGATAACTAGAAAATAGTTACAAAGTCTTGAAAAGACACCATCACCCTACAGATACTTGTGGGGTTGCCCCTCTTTGGAAAATAGGTTAGTTTCATGAGTCAAGTAACAAGGTGCCTTGATCTTATTGGAAAAAACCCAAACACCTTCTTTAAAGTAAGCTTTTGTTTTATTAATATGAAAATTCTACTATTATGCTGCTTAACATACTGTTTGTTTCTTGTTTGAATTTAAAACACAACTAGCAGCTAGATGGTAATCACTTTTAGAAAAACGAATATGGAGTAGAGCTAGCTTTGCTTCCGGGTGACAGGGCAGGGGCTGTACTCACTGATGCCACGTCACTGCATCGAGCACTCCTCCCCCGGCCTTCAGGAAGCTGGGGAGGAAACCAGTACACGTCACTTCACCTGTGAGAATAGCTGAGTCTATGCACCAAGAGGTTCAGTCCTGGAAATAGGCTGGTGATAAATTTTGCTATTGGTGCCACTAGGCCCAGAGCCCTGGATATTCTGAGCCGGCCAAGCCTTGACCTTTCAGTAAACTTTGGTTAAAAAAAATATTTTTAGATTTCATTGAACTATAATGAACACATTATACAACTCAGTAACTCAATCATATCAAGGAGGGTTGTGCAATCATCACCACAATCAACTATGGAACATTTTCACCCTTCTTGTGCCCATGGCTTTTGACTCTCCATTTCCCCCACCCTCATCCCCTCTGTGCCCTCCGAGTATATTCTGTGTTTGATTTTTTTAAAGCTAATCAGGCAGCTAATAACATGTGACTCTTCATCAGAGAGAGATCCCCACCCCCTTTGTGGTAACGCATATGCATAACAAAACATGTGCCATCTCGACCATGAACTTCTACATAGTCTTCAGGGCATGCAACTATTCTTGCTGTCCTTTTCCAAGCCATGCCTCCACCAGTTACATAAACTCTAAACGTTTACTTCTAAGTCTCCTCAGATATGATGCC